AATCTATAAAATCCGAAGATCGTAGCAAAACGCATTTAATAATATTTGATCGAAAATTTATTCGATTCTTATGCAAAATGGGAACTATTGAAAAAGTATCTGCTGACACTACGTTTAAAACTGCTTCCATTTTATTAGAAAATAAAAATAAAAATTCAACTGTTAATAAAACGCGACAACTTTTTACATTGATGACTCGAAAATTTAATCACGTAAGTCTTTTAAAAATTATTAATAACATCTATGAAAAGATTGTAACAATTAGTAAAATTAGAGGGATTATTTTCCTATTTTCTCTATGGGGAATACCCTTTGCATGGGTTATCATGGAACGAAGAAAATATATAGATTATAAACCAATATTGGAATATATATTTAAAAAATTAGTATTAGCATTGCGTCCACGAATAGTAATGATGGATTTTGAATTTGCTCTTCAAAAAGCTTTTTTGACGGTTTTACCGTCCGCTGAGGTGAAAGGATTTTATTTTCATTATTCGCAGGTATTTCCTTTTTCTCTCCATCTCTCTGTTAATAATCATATATTAGAAAAATCAATAATAATATCATACAGTAACTAATCAAATCTTTTTAATATCTTATAGGCGTTATTTATATAAAAAAATATGAGAAAATTTATAGGAAAAAAGATTGCAAAATCAAAACATGCAGAAGAAATACTTACAAAGTTAAGGACTTTGGCATTATTACCAGAAACTGAAATTGCGATAGCTTTCCAAAAAATTGAAGCAAATATGTCAGAATACATGAGACGTCGATTCCATCGTTATTTGCAGTATTCCGTTTTTGGATAAACAGAGTTACACCAACTCGTTTTTCTATGTATCGAAAACTTAAACGAATGAATAATTTAATTGAAAGATACCACAGGACATTGAATCATAAATTTGCGGATAATCATGATGCATGGATATTCATAAGTATGTAAAATATCAAACCGTGAAAATATCAATTCATATTTTTGATTAATACCTAAAATATTATATATGCTTCAATTTCTTATTTACAGAAAAGTTAGGAGAATTACAGTCAACAATTCGTCGAGATCTAGCGACTTTGAAGGCAGGAAAGCCTTTAATAAGAATGACATATAACTGGATAATTAAAAATCATGCTTTAGCAAACGGACAGGTTAAACGATGGCCTTCCTGTCGAAGATTTTTTTATCATTGACGAGTGTACTATTGTCAAAAAATTCTCAGTGGCATATGGATACAAATAATAGAAACTAATTTTAAAGCATTAAAATACATATTAATTATAGTATTTAAATATGTTTACGTTCACATTCTCCGTTTCATTGTTAATTATTTTATTATAATGCTTAAATCATTTACATATCAAAATGTGTTTTTTAGTGTTCAATAAATTTTTTAAAAAAACTTTTTTATTTAATTTCTCGAGAATTCTCTTGCTATTGCATTTTGAGTTGCGAATTTTGGACCTATGCACATACATACGTGCATGCGTGCGTGCGTGCGTGCGTGCGTGCGTTTATGCATAGGTGCATCTTTAAGATCTATTTTTTTTCAGGATGTGTATGTCTCTTCTCATATTTCTAGAGTTATTTAGAGACATCTTAAGATTTCTCTCGAAATTATAATTTTTCGGGATGTTGTTTCATTTCTAAGATTTCGAGATTATGATTTTTCGGGACACTGTCACACTTCTTAAAGTTCGGGATTTAACTTTTTGGGATATTGTCTCATATCTAAAAGAGATTTCGGGATTATGTCTTTTCGGGAAATTGTCGAATTTCTTAAATTTCGGGTCTGTGACATTTCGGGACAGTGTTTTAGTTTTCAGTATTCGGGATTTTTCGGGACATTGCATGTCCACCGAAAAAGATTCACGTCGAATGAGGAGGTCATTGCCGAAACAGAGGCCTATTTTACAGAGTTCGACAAATCGTATTTTTCGGAGGGGTTAAAAAAATGGCAGAAACATTGGGAAAAGTGTATCCTCCTAAAAGGGGATTACTTTGAAAAATAAAAATAAGTTTTGTGAAAATCTTGCGTTTTCATTACTAACACGGGTAACTTTTTGATTTGCCCTCGTATGTTTCTCAAGTTTTTGTACAATTAATATTTTAAAATCAAATAAAGTTTCAAATTTATTTCCAAAATTTTTGCTTCAATTTATTAAAGATTTATGCTAATTCACATATAATAATGACGATTCACCTAACTATAAAAATTATACAATTTGAAGAATATACTTGATAGCCTACTCATTTTTCCTGCAATTTTGTGATATATATATAGTGAGTTCGAAAAAAATTCGCACAGAGAAAATATTTAAGAAAAATCTTATTTTTAATAAGTAAACATTATTCAGCGAGAAATGATTCATCGAATTGATAGCGAATCGATATCAATTCGACGAGCATCAATTCGATGTATTTCAATGTCAATCGATGTCTAATTAACAGTCATTTTGCTGGGTATTAACAATTTATTCATAAAAAATAAAATGAACTGTATAATTCTCAACATAATATATGCCAAAAGATGTGTATTAATTACAAAAAATGTATCATCTTAAAAATAAGAGAAAATTAAAAATTATATTATTTGGACGCTCAGGAAATATTCGTACAGTCGAGAAATTTAGCTCCTAAAATCAGGAATACACTCGAAACTCGTTTGTTATGTTAGAATAGAATGTATTCATAGTATACAATTACTAGTTAATACACATTTTTTCTACAAATATTTAAGACATTTTTTATAAAAGATTTCCTTGTACGAATACTTTTTGCACTCACTATATATCTGCTTTTTGGGATTTTACCTAGTCTCAAGTAACGAGCAAAAAAATGAAATGAAATTCAAGAGAAAAGTGGATCGGCTTCATCAGCTTGCACAAGCCATTCCATATTTCTGATACTGATCTCGTTATGTTTGTCTTTTCCTCGTTCTAATTCGTCGTTCACCAATGTACGTGCGAACTTCGTCACTTATTATACATACATATACATACATACATACACACATATATATACACACACACGTATTACTTATTTACATGTTTACTTTCATAGTAGTAGTTAAATTTCAAATCATATAAAAAAGTTATAATTGTAAGAATATCCTGACGATAGTGCAATATCAATTTCTATCAGCAGCAAACAATAAAATTATAAATACATTCTTCCCGTAAAATAAATTTGTAAGTTAATATCTCGTAGATGACATTGTAACATATTGTAACAAAATGTTATATAAATTTTTTCGAATTTGCAAAAACTATCTGATCAGGGTGACATAAAAAGGATACGTCTCTCATTGACAATTTAAAAATAAAATTTTCACATCAATGGCTGCATTCAGCAGAGAAAATCACTCACTGAACGCTCCTTGAGCAAAAAAGGGATCAATCTATGAGTAACATGTTTATTTATTATAATTCGTAATGTAGAATAACTTGTCTATTATTGATAATCTTTAATATCATATAATATTCCTTACTTATTACTGTTTATTATTTCTCTAATGCCGTATTTGGGCCGTAAGATTATGTAGCACTCAGTGAGCGGTGGAGCGTAATTAAAAGTCGCTCCACCGCTCACAAAAAAAAACACGACATTAGAGAAATAATAAACAGTAATAAATAAGTAAGGAATATGATATTAAAGATTATCGATAATAGACAAGTTATTTTACATTACGAATTATAACAAATAAACATATTAATCATAGATTGATCCCTTTTTTGCTCAGGGAGCGCTCAGTGAGCGGTTTTCTCTGTTGAATGCAGCCATTGTTTCAATAGTTTTTGCCCATTATTCTGTTCTTGTACAGATCAGCTTTTCCTTTTTTTACAATTGTAAAAATAGAAAACAGTTCAAAAGAAGTTTAGTTAACTTTTTATTTAAAAAAAAACTTTGATCTCTTATTGATAAAATTGTGAATGATTTGAAAAGAAGTACGTATTGATCTCAATACATTGTTGTAACAAAACATGTCGATTTATACATGATAGTGATATCAGCGTTTATTTGAATAGCAAATATTTCATGTATTGTGAACAGAGTCGAATGTAGTATGGTCAACGCCGGAAATAACAAAAGAGCCGCAAACTGCAAAACGCGAAACCGAAATCATACTCCGCTACCGCATTTATCGGAAATTGCCCTTTGCAGTGATGCAGAGTAATGTAATGCAACGTCATGTTGCTGTTACAATAATTACTATAAGGATTTAAAAATAAAATATGTTTGAGATTTGATGAATGTAATAAACAATTTGTTTATTTACATAAAATATTATTGTACTATAACTCTCTTGGTTGCTGTCATAATATACTAGCAAACAATAATTTTTAATCCGTTATCAAATTTTATTATTATTATTATTTATTAACAAATGTTACTGTATCCGTTACGATTTATTGGCTTTCATCAATTCATAATTTTTTTTTATTTTTATATATTTAAAAAAAAATTTTTTAAAGTTATTTACATATATACATATATCGTTTATATTTAACACCCAGGATACCAATTTTGCTCTAGTGTTTACTTTGAAAGTTAATATTGTTTTTACATATTAACATAAAGTGCAAGTTTTCAGGGATATGTAACGATCGAGTTAACAAAGTTTCATCGTATCACCACAATATCGAATCTCTTGCCTTTTTGCTTATATAATGTCGTATGTTTACGTTTATATTTCTGTACTCTAACTAGATTGCGGAAAAAAATTGTAAGTTTGCATAATTATTACAAACGCTTATAAAATGTATATTATGAAAAAAATAAAAAAAGACAGATATGTATGAAAGAAGCTGCACGGTTATAATTTATGTATATCTCAATGAAACTCTGCATTAAGAATTCCATAGTCAAAGAGATTTTACGTGATGCAGTAAATAGTTTTATACATATATAAGAATATTAAAATTGAAGGACTAGAATGTTGAATATTCTTTGAAGCTATTTGAATGCTGAAGTAGTAACAATGAACTGAAATTACTGACTGAAGTTTTCTTCTCTATATACATATATACAGACTTCTACAAAATAAAGATGCTACTACCTAATTCTTATTTCAATCTGTTTGCGTTCTCAAAAGTAACTTTATTCCTTAGAAAATGTAGTGAATATTATGTCATTTGCAATTGTGAATGCAAATCGTAAACTTGAGATATACTGTATTAGTAACATTTTAGTAACTTTAAATATTTTAATTTTACTGTTTTATAAAATTCTTTGATACATACTAGTATAAATTGAACCATAATAGTATAAATATGATAAACATATGTCATACCTTCTTTTATGAGCAAATTTTATTTTGCGAAAAATTTAACTTTGGAACCGGTAAGCGACCGGCCACTCGCGCATACCTATATTGCATGTTTTTCCATGATAAAGCGCTTCCCTAGTTCAAGTTTTAAAAGACTCTTCGGTTTACTCTACTCTTCTGCTTGGACGTGGTATATTTGCAAGAGGTTGGCCCGACTCGAGTGGTTCGCGTTAGTTATACGGTATACACTCTAACGGATAGACTTTTCAGAAACTAGAATTCACTGGCACTCGTGCGCCTAGTTGGATGCTTATCCTGCATCCATCCCTCTGATTATCGTTTTCATTGAGTTTTTACGACGTACTCATCGTTCTATCTTAATCTTCCAATCTTCATTACTATATTCCTTTCTGTTCCACGTCTCGTCTGCTTCAATCATCTTTGCGGGCTTTGATCTGAATGAATCTGTATATCAATTTTCCATCACATACATAAGATTTTCACGTCAATTGAGAATTATAACTTACGATACATATAATTAAAAAAAAGATGAACTTATTTTTTTTATAAAACATTACGCAAGAATTACCAATCATATACGCAATAGTTAAAACTATCCTTAAAACTATGTAAAATTATTATTATTATTTCTATACTTTCTTAAACTAAAATAGTTCTTAACTTTTAAAAAAAAAAAATAATAATAAGCTCTTCAGTTGCAACACATTATAATACAATGAGTTTTAGATCTGTATTGTGATAGAAACGCAAGGAATATTGTTTATAAGCTTTAACATTTATTGTTTTTGTATCTATTTTTTTAACATTTCATGTGTTTATATGTGTATTAAAGTCTCAAAAATCTCCAGGGTTAAGCATATAATAAATTGATTCTAGCAACTGACGTTCCGCAAGCAATTTTCTACTTGTTTATCAGAAACTGTCAAGGCTATGTTTTACAGCAGGATAAGGCACTGACTGTAAAGGATGGGCACTGATTACTGCCAGACTTTCCCTTAATGATGAAGGATAGCCTCAGCTTGCACATATATACATCTAATCTCCATAATAAAACTACAAAAGAGAGAGAGAGAGAGAGAGAGAGAGAGAGAGAGAGAGAGCGCATATTGCATATTCAAACAAAAATAGTGTAATTTGAAAATGCATATTTTGTTGAATTCGTTTGATTAAATTTTTATCATTCGAAGAGGATACGTAGTTTTCATGTTTATAGCATTCATGAAAAAAACTTGTTATAAAATTTATTAATAACTTATAACGATGACATAGATTATACATATAAAAATATTAATTGTGTATATATCTATATATTATATTCTCAAGAATAATAGTGAAGTTATCACAGCGAGACAACTGTATAAGTAATGTATCAAATCTTTCAATGTACATACATTACATTCCATTATATTTACATTCGTAATCACCAAAAACTATATATTCAAAAGAGTATGTATTTAATTTTTTTTAATTTAAAATTGTGCTATTTATCTAACCACTGCTTTTTAAATTAATGGAATTAAATAACTCTCTGCTACCGATATAATGATATGAATATTTTGCGCATTTATTTGTGTATGTACTGTAGTTAATCAGAAATAGCAATATTAATATTAGAAATCTGTTGGTCAGAATTTAAATTAAATTATGTTGATGGAATGAAGAGAGCTTAATTTTCCACGTTTATTAAATATTATATAATATGTAGAATGTAAAATGCTATTAAAGGTTTATACATATATTAACAGATATTACAGGACAACTTATATAAATTAAATTAATTAGCAAGCAGCAGCATTAAACTATTAAATATAAGTGCCATGCATTAATGACGTAACGTTGAGAATTATGAATACATAAAACATAAATTTCTTTATATAAATTATTTTTTTATACTAGAAAATTTTTACATAAATTCGAAATATGTTCACAATAGACCATCTTAAGGGGATGCTGGAGCGACGGCCGAATTTGATCGATGTCGATAAAATAGATTTTTAATTCCAAATATTACGTACATCAAGAAAACGTTACATACATTAATTAAAACATTACGTATATTAAGCAAAATCATTAAGTAAAACATTACATTTCTTGTTCTGCTATATCCTATATATCACATGAATGCGAGGTTATGTATACTCAAATCGTACTTCTCAAATCATTTCTCTTGTAAGCTTCAAAATCATAATTTAAAGGTCTCATGATATTCTTATAAATTATTTAAATATGGGAAAGTATTTTTTGTTTGGATATATCCTTGCATTCATTTATATATATGTGAAGGAAGCGAACCTACATGGTAATAGAAAACTGTAATTTATAATTTTTGGGGGATTTTCATATCGGTTTGTTTTCCAAAGGTATTCGCGTTTTTTCTTTTATTCTGGAAAAGGATTTTTTATTCTGTATAAGGAAAACGAGATGGTTTGAGAAATACGAAATGAGCGTTCCGTTGGTACTCCAGCATCCCCTTAATGAATTAAAAGAAATTAACATGTTACCTTAATAACAATTGTCTATTTAATTTATATATTTTCCATAATCTACAATCAGGTAGCATAACCTATATAAGATGCTCAACAGTAATAACAGTTATAATATATTAATATATTATACATATATATTAATAACTTATATAAGATGCTCAACAGTAATAACAGTTATAATATATTAATATATTATACATATATATTAATCCTGAGCTCGAGTATACACACATCTTACGAACATTTATTTAACTATTAATATTATAATAAAATCGCGTTACATAGAGAAGATATTTTCATGTTTTATATATTGATATTTTCTCTCTGTAAAATTTTATAATTTTAACATTAAAAATTATCTTATATCTTGCAATTGCATAAATATTAACAAATCAATTATTTTCAAAAAGCCTCTATGATTTAAAAAAATTTTAAAGTAATAGATTACGTTATAAAATTGTCAATCCAAACGTGTAGAATAAATGTTACAGATTTATATAACATTTGTAGCAAGATATTCTCTCTCTCTCTCTCTCTCTCTCTCTCTCTCTCTCTATTTATTTTGTGGATATATGTTTATATTTACCATTTAAACACATTATCGCATTTGAAAAGAAAGTTTATATTTTATTATTCTCAAAATGATTTTGTTCCAGGATTTGTGTCGCCATAACTGATTCAATTTAATTAGTTGGATTTAGCTGTTCCGGATGTCAGTGTTTCTCGCTGTTTCTGCTCGTTTGGCAGATTCTGGCCATATTCCGGGCTTTCGAGGATGCGACGTCCACAAGCACCGGTGGCTGTATATTCGCAGATAAGACGGAAACACTGGAAATGTATATATCGATCCCTCTGCCGATAAGGGTATCCTCCAGCCTCTGTGCTCAGCTTCACGATGTGCCGCTGCTCACGCTACAGCTTGAGATAGAGAGAGAATCCGGATCTGGGGTTTTGTTCTCCTCTCCGGCATCGATCGATTCAAAGTCGTCCTTTATCCAGGAAGGGAAAGGACCTGGTAATGAAGGCAGGCGGATGACTGCCACCCCATCCTTCGTTCACCCATTTCTCTTCTCACCGTTGTCTCCTCTCGGTCACCCATCCCGATATATCTGTTCGTACCGCTACCGCTACTGCTGCCAGAATCTATCTCAACGTGCGATTCTCTACAAACTTTCCAGAGTAAACTTTACCTCACCGATCGTGCTCGTGGCTTTACATTAGAGAGAAAAGATCTATGCATCGGTGTTCGTAAAACATCGTCAAACGATAATGTAAAAGATACTGCATTTTTTCACAGTATAATGTCACAGTTTTTTTATTGTTGAATTTCATTTAATCGCAATTATCGTTAATAAGAAATTTGTGCAATATCGTAGTCAAATATTTAAATAAACTCTGAAGATCTATCATTTGGCGTAAAATAAATACATTTTTTAAATGCAAAAATTGCACATTAATATTTACTTTACACATGTTTTACAAAATTAATATTCATCTCACAAACGTTTTAAGGTAATTGTCCCTATTAATGTATCTTTTAGCCAATTTGCTTATTGCTAAATTAATTATTAAATATTGTAGCTTTAATTTTATCTGCTTGCAATCAATATCGGTTTTTCAACTATTTCTTTTTCTTCTAATATTTCTTTAATCTAAAAAATGTTACTTTATAATGTTTTTGACAAAAATAAAAAACATGTTTTTGTCTCTATTAATGAATCCTCCAAGCGGCGATGGCCTTATTAATGTGCCCCCAATTTATGTGCCTATCCATTTGACTCATTTTAACATATAGTTATTAAAACAGGTAATAAATTTAAACTAATTGTTTAAGTTAATATTACATAAATCATTATTTCAATTATATTTACTTCAATGTACACTCATAACACAACGTTCTCAGTTCCAACACAAAGCACATTAATAGGGACAAACTTAAAATCTCGCGGTACGTATTACTTATTGGATTCACATAAATTCCTCGATATCTCTCTTTCGAAAAATATTTAAAATACTTTAATACTTAAAAAATAAAATATTATCTTTGGTATACATTAATAATTTAACTTAACAAAAAAAAATATTTTTTCTTATTTATTCGTGCTAGTTTTCTTTATGATTTATCGAAATGCAAAAACACAACTAATAGGGACAGACATAGTAATAGGAACAGTTATCCTAAAAAAAAATATCGGCTTGTCTTTCGAAAATGTAAACTAAATGTAAACCGTCGATCATGAAATATGACGTATTTTAGCAGGAATCTCTTGAGAAATTTTGAATCGAGTATAATGGCAACGATTTATCGACAAGGACTGAAGCTGACGACGGCGTGTTAACCTAAATTACGTTGATCAAGACTAACGTAGCGGTCATGATGATGGAACCGCCGATAATGTTTTGTCTTAAATGTATTACTACATCATTTTGCTTTATAGTGTACTACTACGGCTCATATTATGCTACACCTATAGAGATCTAAAATTACTCGAAGATGATTAAAATAATAATAAAAAGCAATTTATATGATAATGTAACAAGATATAACAATTATATAGTCTGCCTTGCAGCTCTATATTATGTCACCCTCAATATATTATGCTATAATTTACGATCAATTGTATTAAATCTCTAAACAGCTCCCATAGGGCTACCATAAATCAAACCTCGCTCCAAGTATCGAAGCAGAAAGATTTCTCGGCAATGATCAGTAATAAAAGGTTATTTTTCTGCCAAGTTTGTCAGGGATTGAAATTGAAATGGATTGACAGAGCATAGTCAGGTTATATGTGATTACTCAAATTAAACAAAATTGGATCATCATGTAGGAAGAAGGTAAATTGGATGATTTGGCTAAGAGAACGAAGATTGGACGGGGGAAAGATTTTTCTACTTTGCTCGTCGGAAATAGATAGCGGCAAAGGAAGAAGAATCAACGAGAAGGACGAACGGGCGAGTGGACGAAGTCCGACTTGGCAATTGACTTTAGAAATCGAAGATGATCGAATTGCAAAATCAGTGAAAATGGCGCATTGATCGCGAATTCGTGCGTAGAAATATTGAGATAATAATTCCAAAAGAAAGTATTCAAGCTCTTTCTTTTCCTTCTACTTGCACAATCATGAATGGGGAAAAGTTCGTCTATAGCAAGTCTGTGAAGACGGAGAATCACCTGCCTTCAAAACGTTTCGAAAGAAAATCACAAAATGCGCGATTTCAAATGGAACTGCTTGCAACCTTTGAAGTGGTACGAGCCATTATTGTACTTCTCGAGTTATACTATACGACGAGCAATTATTCAAATTACTTAGAAGAATACTTCGATATCATAGAGCTGAAGCGATAACTGTTATGAATTAAGTTTTCAAAGAATCCCTCGGGCGTATATATAAAGGTGGTATTAAGAATAATATTCATCGCCTTGTTAATTAAAGAAATAATTGTTCCTTATATGAAAACAACTCTTTGGCAGATAGCTTTTTGATAGAGCAGAAATTATGGCGAAGCAGTAATCGAGCACAATTAGGATAGATTTGCGATAAAATAGTAGCTGAGATAAGAATTATAACGTTTTTTAGATATCAGTTAAGTTTGTCTTGCTCTTCTGTCTATCTCAATACTATAAGCGGACTTAATCTGCATCTTACATGAGTATCATGATTGATAGAGCAATATTAGACGATGTGACGAAAATTGAAAATTATTCATTGTATTGTTATAAATAGTTGTTACGTGATTCGTAAATGTTATTAATCGTATTATGTAATTTGTCATCATGGACACTAATTTCCTATTCAATTTGCCGCATCATGTGCTTGGAATTATGTCATTAGTACTTTTCGTTGAATCGTAATCGAACTAATGCGCATACAATTCCGATTCTTCTTCGTTTTTTTATATACTTATCTGAGAGTATGGTCAAAGTCTCACTACAAATGTTTCGATTGACTGATTAAAAGAAAGAATTTTACTAACTGATTAATAAAAGAATGCTTCAAAGTATTTTTAGCATTGTACGTTGATCTTGAATTGGATATCTCATATTAATCATCTATTGACATCTCGGAGCTGTTCAGTAATTGTTGCAACACCAAATTTCAAGACATAAAGATCACATCAGACGATCATAAAGATCGAGAAAGTATGAAGTTGAATAAATCATTATTACTTTCACGATATTATTCTCCTTCAAAATAAACAAAAGTTCAATTCAACTATTTGAGCAAGCCTCTATAAAAAAAAGTATATGCGATCAAATGTTATAAAATCTACAATTTTTGTTAACCAATCCAATATTCTAATTTTAAATAAGGAAGGATTGTATACATCTAGTTTCGAGCAATACAATTAAAAATTGTGACTCAGCCACTTACATAGCTACTTGTATTATGTCTGCAAATGTATTATCTTCATTTTATTAATAATATACAAAATTTTATTAATACTAAAATTTAATTAATTATCAATTGGATGTAGAACACCGATGTTACTGATCGATCTTACCGTCACATTGAATTCGTACTGTCTAGATATTATACCGTATTAATTACTATTACAAACGCTCCACGTGTGGTGCGCAATCACATCAAGTAACGTAATTATCGTTACGGACGTCGTTGATACATCAATACGATATGACATGCCCGTGCCCGTATCTATTGCAATATGGTTTTGTAATTATCGTTAATGGTATTTGAATATTATACGTATTGTGCGTTTTACGGCATTGTGCGCATATCCGTTTTTGCTAACTTGGTTAACATTATATTCGACATTCAACCGATTAAACAGCGCATAATTGAGAACGAACATATATGAGAATCAATCTTCGCGAATTTAATCGTTCACAATTTGTAGACGCCGTTTATTTGCTTTAGAGAAAGCGAGGGAGAACGTAGAGTAGATTTATCATCTGCATTGATATGGAAGTAAATTCTATTGCAAAATTTACCGTGAATATTTCGTACTCCTAAAGCATATTTTTATACATACGTTGTTCTCTGATGTTATACTTATATTTTATTTAATAAAATAACGTTATCTCACACACAATACTGGTATTGTAATTGTGTATTCGATTTCGATAACGCTTAATAAGCGACATCATAATCCTGTTAATTAAGCTATATTATATATATTAAAAAGATATAATATATGGACATGTATTATAGTTTGTAATTAAAATTCGTTGAAGTTTGCAATAAAAGAGTTCAACATTACAATACATATAACATAATTAAATCAATATTTACACATTTTCGTTATATAGAAAGCCATTTTATAGGATATATTGATCTATGATGTAATAATTTTGGTGTGGATTAAATGTAATTTTATATAGAAAAAATATTTTTGTACAAAGTATTTATGTATAATGTTATGTAATCGTTTGTAATATATAGAATGTTTAGAAATATATCTAGATTTCACGTAACATTTTGGGAAATGTTATGTTTGCAGAACAAGCGTGATCATGGACGTTGTATCGTGACGAAGAGGAGAACAAAGCAAAAATGATCGAAGGAGAAAGAAGACGAAAAACCGGATTATGTAGCCGAAAGATTGGTCGACATATCAGGTCAGTGGTTTTATGTTCTGATTCAAATTCCTTATCGCTTTCTCTACATATTGCTCGGCTTTCTTTCGTAAATTTACTATGAGTGAATTGCAGTAACTATCGAACTGAAAAGGGATAGCACCAAAAAATCAAAGCATAGCAAGTAAAATCATCCAACTTATTTTCACCAAGCAAAAGTTCTTTCTCTCTCTATCCCGACGAAATATTTATCGACGGCAATACTTGGATTCGAGAAAATTTGTTTTCAAAGAAAACACAGTGGGAGATATTGTACCCGCGAGCGAATTCTTCCAGGAACGTGTGTTTGTTGATTCAGTGACAAGCCTTAATACTATCTCTCCCTCTCTTCCTCCTCCGCCCTCCCCCCATCTCTCTCTCTCTCGAAAGCGGACTGAGACATAAGATCAACACGGGAAATCTTTGAGAACTGAGGTATTAAATATTATTTATCACAATATATTTTAGATGTAGTTGTATACTTTTCAGAAAAAATTATTAAATGTAAGTTTATACGGGATATTACGTCAAATTTAAAATCAAATTTACATTTTTGCTTTAATTTAAATTTATTTGTAAATTTTTTTTTTAATTCCTAACAAAGAGAATATTTTATTGCCTGATATTTATTATTCTAAAAAATATTAGACACTATTTGATTTTCGTACAATAGAACGTTTCTCTGACGCAAAATACAGTAAGGTTACGGAAAATGCTATGTTATTAGATGAGTCTTATTTCTACAGACTAGCATGCAGGTATGCCTAATTCGTTTAAGTAAATAACTGTTAGTGAAACTCGAAGCTAATGAGAAAAGTTAGAAATGCCGCGGCAAAATGGTATCTAACAATATTTTGCGTAAATTAAACTCTCTCAGCTTTCTCCCCGATATAAACTACTACCTTGAGGAAATGTATAAGTGGCGTGTCGTGGATGCAATTTAACTTTAACAAGCACATTGAATAAATAATTAGATCTGGATGCGTAATTAAAGCCGGCTGGATCGTCGCGCACGAAATATCCGCGATTTCAGGCGTTTGTTTAAATTTTAATTAAGCGCTCGATTAGCCTGTCGCGTATCAATGGTTGTTAATTATTGCACGGTTAATTGGCGATTTAAACGATAATTTTGGTTCTTTACGATAAATACACGATGTAAACTATTTGATCCATGATTAATATTAGGTAAGGAAGTTGATAATTATAAAAAAAAGTAGAAATTCGATATAGATAGAAACTCGATAAATTAGAATGTAGCTAGAAATAACTAGCAGTGTTACATATTTTTATACAATTAAGGCTCATACAGCCACAACTCAAGATATTATTAGAGCGAATGTAATATATTTAAAATTAGTACATTAAGACAGAGCTGGGATTTAATTGCACATTTCGGCCGATTTTCAGCTTGGTTCCTGCCCCTTACTTCACCAACCCGCGCGCAGCCCAAGTGCCGATTGGCATTTAGGTTGCACGCGGGTTGATGAAGTAAGGGGCAGGAATCAAGCTGAAAATCGGCCAAAATGTGCAACTAAATCTAAGCTCTGCATTAAGATATAAAAACTATAGACGTTTTGGTCAAGTTTTGACCATCATCAGTACAATAATATAGATGTTACAATATAATATAGATATAAATATCCTCTAAGTATTTCTTTATTTCGATGTTAAGATCTCGTTCAAAACTTATGCGGTTTAAATTGGATTATCCATATAAAAATTTCAGGAGAAATTCATTCGTTTCGATGATAATTATGTTCAGAATTTTGTTAAAAAATTTTTTTAGACCGCTGTGTGGCAAACACAGGACTTCCAGAGTCTGTGTCTGTGAACAACGATCCTTACAATTTTAGTATAATACCAATATATTATATTTGTAAAATATTACAATGAGGTGATTAGATGATACAATGATAAAAAGAATTATTTTTACAAGAAAGTGTGATGTTAACTACACAAAAGTGTAAATTTACATATTTTTCCTGTGTTTGTCGCTTTGTCTTGCGTGTTCACCAACATTCATATCAAATTCGATATGCTATATCAGATCTGCATAATTGATAGGTTTTTATCTGGTTATTTTCGTTCAATCATTCGAAATGCCGTAACGTTTGATAATCAGTCTTTTGCATTCTTAAAGCTCGGGTTGAGTGCCTCTCGCTTCAAATTCCTTGCCAGCATGTGATCCGCACTTTGAATAGGGCACTTGCTACTTCTAACATTCGAAGAGTTTCCGACGCATTACGATTCCACGAGAGTAGAGTACGAATCTAGAGCGATCAAGTTATATTATTCTTCTCTTCTCTTCTAAATTTCTAACCAGCTGTTATCTTCCTATATTTTCTTCTCCTTTTTACCTCTCCAGTTACTACATTATATTTATCTAATAGAAAATAGCATTCTGAAAGATGTAACGTATTCAATGAAATGCGTGTTACTTCCGCGTAGCAAACTAATAAAAATATAGAGATTGTTTTTGCAGACGGTATATATAATAAAGATGAATATTAGAAATTAAGTACGTGAAAACGTACTTATGATCCATTGCGCTGAGAGAAACCTACGATAAAAATATGGTAAACTGTAAGTGCAAAATGGTGTACAAAATATTTTTCAGACTTTATAATGTTTTGAGTGTAATTACAATAATAGGAGCAGTTAATAGGAGCAGAAAATAGAATTAAAAGATCAATGAAATGACGAACCATTTCTTAATAGATATATGTATTATATATAATATGTACATCTTATATTTGTGTGTGTACATATACATATCATATATTCCGATAATTCTATCCTATTAGAGTAAAAAATTATTATGTGCTCTAATTTTCATTTTTCTTTATTTATTTTTCTTAACATATTTTGATTTCTATTCCAAATGACATGATAGGATGATTTAAAATAACAGATAATGTAAAAACTCGATAAAGTCGATTGTTTCTAAAACAAGCAAAATGACAGAAGTTTCAACTACTTGTTGCAATGTACCGTAATCGCTAAAATTTTGTACTATAAGTGTATCATTAGTGCACAAATAATATGATTGCAAAATAAAAAGCAACAGAATGATCGCGCATGGTCGAAACTCTGTGAAAACTATTACGCTTTCTCGTAGAATACGACGAAGCACGATTCTCGTAAAAGCTTAGAATCCCGTTTTCTCGGTAAGCTTCTTCCCAGTTATTTTCCTCCATTAATTCACTGCTATATACACCCGCTTGCCTCGTGTAAATTTGAATCCATAAAATAATTCATTCCATGGATGGAACAGCGACTAATAATGCATTTTCTTTCGCAAATATCGTATCTCGATTACTAGTTGTTTATATACAAATTATTTATATTTTCGTGTTTCATGTGACAGATACTAATCTATCTATTGTTCTTTTCTTCGATTTCTTGCAACTCTTTTACCTGTCTGCTCCGTCCTGCTCGATACATCCGCCAATCGTTTGGCAAATGCTCAGTATACTTGGTAAATTCACGTAAAGCGAAAGCTACCCTCCGTCCCTTGTGGCATGCAAGATCGCTGCTCCCGGATATATCGTGTGCACCCGGATACCGACACGAACGAATGGCATTTAGAGCGCTTCGCCTTGTCTGCGGTAGCTGGTTGCAGTCGGACGAACGCAATACATGAGAGCACGATGACGATGAACTAGGGCGGGCGTGATCTTATTAAAAAACATTCCTCTATATGCCGGATGAGATGCAGCTATCACGACGCGAAGCTACTCGTCATGGAGAAAGGCAGCGATCTCGTCCCTCAATAGAACAAGGATGCCGAATACCTCCTGTCTTGGAAATTTTTTAATAAAGTACGCTGCAGCGATGTGACGTTCCCACCGTCCACGTACCAGAGACACGATGAGCCGTGCGTCACCGCGAATTACTCTGGAATTGCTTGCGAGTCGCGCTGCCGCGCCGCCCGCGCGCGCCGTGAAATGCATCCTCGGCGGTGAATGACGGCCAAGAAGCTTAAGGCCACTGTCACGTCGCTGCAACGTTAACGCCGTGGATTTGCAGAGGGGAAACTAATGTTTTCTGTCTCATCGCGTTTACACAGATTTCACGTGGGTGCACGTGTCACTTAAGCTTTAAATCTCGGTTAGAGTATTCTCGACCATGTACCGCAATGATCTCCATTGATAATTCATTGTTCATATATTCTGCGTGATTTTTGTGTATATGTAACATATTCTGTGTGTTATTTCCCTTTGAAGAATATTAATATAATAGAATATTTAAAGGTTTAGTGTATGCATAAAATGCTGTTTAAACGATATTTTTATCCTCATTAATTCTCTTAAGGGCAAATAAAAAATCAATTTTCCTAGAATTCCTAAATAAATTGAATTATCGTATGCTAATAGCAATCTCTTTACTTATTTCTCTTTGAATTAACCAACGATGCGCGAGATCACTTAGTTTTCTTATCAACATATATTGCTGTAAATTGTTCTCCATCAGAATTGTTGCGTGTTGTGCTTCCTTCTTGGTTCTTGCAGCATCAGATAATTTACGTAAATGTATTACAATTTGCGGTAATATTTTTTTCTGTGTTATTAGGAAATATACTCTTACAAAGGCGCTATATTGATAATATAGGTAATTACATTTGAAAATATATAACATATAATTGTATATACAATAATTAAGCCAATAATATTTATAGTTACTTAATATGTATTTTTTATAGTAAGTATCTATATGAAATACTTGTATTAGAGATTTAATAACATAATAATAATACACGATGTATACAATATGTGTAAAATAATTGCAGAATATTAGCTCGTAGAACGCTTCATTCTTAAACAAACATATCTTCAAATGCTTTTGTTCAAGCATATTAAAGAATATAAACTTCGTAAATTCACTGGAAGTTATGAAGTCTTCATCATCTATGAAAGTAGATTAAAACTTTTAAGTTTACCGACGTAATCAGGATGGCTACTTGAGCATGCTCGTACTCCAGTCGACGAGAGTGAAGAGTGCTCTTGAAAATTCGAGAACTTATTCGAGAGCATAAGTATCAACGATTTACTCTTGTAATGGTGAAAAAAGAATAGTCCGAACAAATATTGAATGACAAATCTGTCTAAAATTGTTACATATTTTCTGAAAGTAAAAAAAATGGGTGATATATAAACAAATCTATAACGTTCATACTAAAATAAACAATAACGAGATTAATTGAAAACTAACGAAAAATATATTAAAGAAAAAATATATCATAATATAAAATATCCTATTGATATTTTTGGAAAGTACAGGAATTTCTAATATCAAGGGGAAAAAAAAATAAATAAATATTAGAAAGTAAGAGAGGCATATAAAATAATGTTTTTATTTAATTTTTATTCAATATATAATTTAGTATTTACATACATACACACACAACACACATATCAAGTGGATTATCGTTGGATTATCATTGAAATAATAATAAAGCAAATCGGTTAACCGATATTGAGATCATATCGATATTGAGAGCAATGAAATATAGTTGGTAAAACTTTTTAATGCACAAAGTTTTTTTAATGAATTTTCTAGCGCATAGTAATATTATAACTACTACATTACGGTAACTCTAAAAATTATTTATAAACGGTACCTGACAAAGCCACATTTTAGCCATACATGAAATTTAAGATAAGGCAAAAATTGTGTAGATATTATGAAATTGTTCGCTTGAATATATTGCAAAGATAAGAAGATGAAAATAATATTTATGTATTTTCCATACAAAAATAGTAAGCACTTGATTTAATTAAGTAGTAATTAGATTTACTTATTCACGATATTTTCATAATTATGGATTGGTTTATTATCAGTGTGAAATAAACAACATAAAATAATAGTGGGTCAGATAAACTGCCAATTAAAAAAACTAACGAAATAAACTTCATGTATTAATTCTAAATTTAAAGTGAAGCCAAGATATTCTTGTACGAAATAATCTACAAGTACAATAATTTAAAAAGTATGTCGTGTTAAATTTTTATTTAAAAAGGAACGATCCAAGCGTAAATCTGTTCTACGTACCAGTATACTCATCAAAAGGAAATAAATGTGAACAAAAAGGAAAAGAGGAAGCGATATAAAGCACAATACGTAAAATAAAATATATACAAACGAGAAGTAAACTTAATAGATAGAGAAAGAGAATACACAAGATTAATCAATCATTTGATTGTAACATGAATTGCCAAATGAATTACTCTTGTCATTCCATTTCGTTTTTTTTTGTATATTTGCAATCGCAGTTTTCTCTGATCTAACTTTTTTTCAGCTTCGGTCGGTTTTCGATATCATCCCCGGCGCTCTTTAGTCTTTTGATCGTTCATACCCTGCCCACGACAAAGGCGGTTGTCCACATGTTCTCGCCCTGACGTATGGGCTGAGTCGACCTCGATTTCACTACTGGCATTCATCGACAGTCACGTAGTATGGACTTAATATGGCAATACGTAGAGGCGTATCGATTCAATTTTCAGAGCAA